AGCGGCAGTGGGCCATCCGGGCGACGGTGGTGGTGGTGGGCGTGGTCGGGACGGCGCTGACCCGCCTGAAGACCAGCGTGATCCTCTTCTGGATCGTGGGGGCCGAGATTTCCTACAACGTGATTTTTCCGCAGCTGATCTGTGCCGTCTTCTTTCCCGGCACCAACACGTACGGCGCCATCCTGGGCGGCGTGACGGGCTTCGCCGTGCGCCTGTTGAGCGGTGAGCCCGTGCTGGCCCTTCCGCCTGTGCTGCGCTTCCCGGGTGGCATCTGGGACCACCATGCTGGCATCTATGTGCAGTACTTCCCCGTCAAAACCTTCGCCATGCTCTGCTCCCTGGCTTCCATCTTGTTCTTCTCCTTCCTGGCGTCCCGGATCTTCCGCCACCGCCTGCTTCCTGCTGCCTGGGACGTTTTGCACGTTTTCCAGAAGCCCACCCCCACCATCACCCAGGACCCCGCGTGCGCAGAGAACACCCCTGACGCCGCCAGGCCCATGTTGACCACTGACTGCTGAGTCAGCAAACTGCAAATGATCCAAATTAAATTGACTTTCTTGCCAACACACACACACACACACACACACACACACACACACACACAAAATGTATGTAGCTGATGCAATATATAACGGCAATAGTGGGAACTAAGCCTCTTTCGTTTTTTATGGTTGGATTTGGTTTGGTGCTTTGAGGGCATCCTGTCGTTTGCAACGGTCGGGTGGTCTACTTGAAAGTGACTTGAAGCGAACCACCCTCAAGGAATCCTGATTGAGGTCTGCAGATTCAAAGCAGACCTTTACTCAACTCGTGCAAGTGACTCACTCATCTTTCTTCGTCAGTTCTTTTTGCAGAGGGTGAAAGAAATATGCCCGAGAGTATTTGTCACAGGAGAGGTGGCACCCAATTTTTTTTTTGTGGCGCCACATACATCGACCTTTGCGTTGTATGTGGCGCCACGGTCACGGACGGAGGGACGTTTCCCTACCTTGTCCGTGTCGGCGCTCTTCCTCTTGCGGGTCGAGCGCGTGATCTTGACGGTGACGGCGCTCGGGTCGCCTCGGCGCCATGCGCTCGGGCTGCAGCGGGCTGAAGGAAATTTCCATCTCGGGCTGCGGGAAGCGGCTGGCGGCGACCAGTGTGTCTCTCTCCTGCCTCCAGTTCACCATCATTTGCTCTTTGGAATGCAAAGAGCAAATGATGGTCGAGCGAAATAATTTTTTTTGGGGTGCGGAGTGGGGGTGGTAAGAGAATGCAGGCAAAATTCAGCAACGTTGACAACATCCAGCCGGCGGCATTTCACATTACAGCGGAAGGAAAATACTAGTTGGTGACAGCGATGCAACATTCATGGGGGGAAACAACACCCAAAGGAATGCAAGGAATATTACATGACGACTCTCGACCATGCCGATGTAAGACCAGGGCAGTTCACCAGCTCGGCCTGCCGGGCCAGGTAGCGCCATCTTCTCCTCCCGCCACTTTTGACGTTCCGTCAGGTGCTTCTCCTCAATTAGCTTGGGCGAGAAATCAGTCACAAGACAGTCAAAAATTGTTCTCAAGAATGCACCGGGAATAAGTCATGGGTTAAAAGCTCTTGTTCTGGTGTCATCGCATCGCATGGCTGACAAGGGGTGGAGACATGCGACAATTGGCACGGAGAAGCTTGGCATGGTTCAAAGGCAGTCAAGTGACAGCCGAAGGACAGACGCTCTCATCTGAAGGCTCTACTCGGCGCCGTGGACAGTTTTGTTGAAGAAAAAGACGGGAGCAGCAAACATCTGCTGTCGGTCTTTTGCAGCACAAGGTAAGCTGACGCTTGCCACTCCACCGTGTTGTTGATCAAGAAACATCCAGAGCGGGTCGCGATCTCATCTTTACTGAACCCACGCAGACTTTTCCACCATTCTGGGCACTCAAACACTTGGAAGGTTGCAATGCCGACAGGTCGACCACACTCGGACCCACGGGGGGTGTCATTCCCTGAAAAAGGAAGCTCAGTCTCACGACGTGTTTTTGTAAATTTGCGCAACGTACTAAGGGGACCTTTAACTCTGGTGCAAGTTCACCTTATTATTCACCGTGTTAAGCAAACATAAATAGTTTGACTGCACTACTTTTCAACAAACGAGATGCAAACAGTTTCAAGAGCAAAATGACACCGTCAAATCAATCGTTTTTGAATGAATGATCATTAAATAAACAAACAAACAAACAAACATTTCCCCAACAACCGAATTAAAAAAAAAGTGCAGATATTTATTTCATCTGAAGAACGTAAGTGTGTGTGTGTGTGTGTGTGTGTGTGTGTGTGTGTGTGTGTGTGTGTGTGTGTGTGTGTGTGTGTGTGTGTGTGTGTGTGTCCATGACACGCGGTCCAGGTGTTAAACAGTGGAGCGAGGAACCCTTTGACAGTCAATCAATAACTTCCTGCAGTTTACCGTGATGTTCTGGTGAGCGCTTATCGCTTCCTCTTTGGCCAGCTGGAGGTCATGTGACAAGGCCTCGCCACACTGGCTCGCGTGGCCGGCGTTTTGCTGTCTCAGCATCTCCTTCACTTTGTCCACCTCTGAGCAAAAACAAGACGGCGATGAGTGCTGTCATCTCATTATTTATGCTGAGCAAGTTTGGACAACAAGTTGCGACTCTACCCTCCCTGCGGCTTAAACGACGTGCGGCTGTTTACAGATTTTACTTGATGCTGAATAGCTAATGAGGTGCTTATTTGTCACCGCAAATGTTCATTCAAAGAACTTTCAACATTGGGCCACTTCCATTGTCAGTTATGTAACTTGGTCCATGAGAACGTACAATTCTCAACTCAACTCAAGCGTATTTCTCGAGCACTTCAAAACAGCCGCCACGTTTCAAGATTTGAAAAAAAAATGTATCGGGAGCCATTGAAGGGATGCCAGCGTAGGAGCGACATGCTCCCTCTTACGAGTCCCAGTCAAGAGGCGAGCAGCAGCATTCTGGACCGACTGGAAATGCCTCATGGAGGATTGGCTGACTCCGAAGAAAAGTGCGTTACAGTAATTCAGCCGAGATGTAACGAAGGCATGAATGACTGTTTCAAAGTGCCCTTGAGAAAGGAGAGGCTTTATTTTAGCCAGCTGCCTAAGATGGAAGAAGCTGATTTTAACATTGGGAAACCCGATAGACAGGCGACCAGAAATGAGCACGGCTGCGGTGCTCTTGTTGAACTGTTCAACAACTCTTACGTCAACGCTGAGATCATTTGAAAACAAACATTGACAGAGAATTGTAGAAATAAAGTGCTGCGGATATTTGCCCATTTCGGAATTGTGAATATATCATAAGAACATATGAGCGTGATTTGAGCAAACGTGGGATTTCAGACGCGTGGATCAAACTTTGCAATAAGTAGCCGTCCATTGAAAAAGGTTCGGTGAGCCGTGCTGTCGAGGAAATGGGTCCGCTCCATGCAGACGTCTTCCCGTTACTGAGCTCCTGGATGAGGGGGAGTTTGTCGTCCAGCATGCGCTCCATCTGCTCCTGCGTCTCCTCCTGCACGGCGAGAGCCGAGCGCATGTCGTCCACCAGCCGGCGTTTGGCCTCCAGCTCTGTGCGAAGCGGCAAGTGACAACCTTAAGCGGCGGGCAGGCACAACAGAGCTGCGCGCGAATCGGGGCCGACTCCAATTGGGATTCCGGTGGCCATGGGAAAGCCATCGGCCAATTTCAAATCACTGTCCAGTTTAAGACCCACGTTCGAGACTATTGCCATAAGATAAGGAACCATGGGACCCAAGTCCGCAGGGTGGGATGTACAAGGGCCACTGGGACCAAACACCATCACTTCTGTCTTCTTTTCATTGAAATTCAAGAAATTTAGTGCCATGCAGGTCTTGATTTCCTCTTGACAGAATAAAAGTGGCCTCAAATAGAAAACTCAGCGGGACATAGATCTGACAGTCATCCGAATAGCAGTGGAAGGAAATACCATGTTTCCTTACGATGGAGCAGATACAGTGAGAACAGCAGAGGCCCCAAGATTGAGCCTTGTGGAAGACCACACAACAGCGAGGCAGTTTGTGAGCTCAATAAGAGTGACGGACATATGTGGAGAGCGCTTTGGGCACCGTATAGTGTACAGCAAGTGCTCCAGAAGTTCAGATTGGACTGGATTTTTCATTTGTTGGAGTATGATGTGTCGTTTTCAGGAAAGCACAAGGAGGAACTGTCAATCCTGTCGCATACTCACCTTGATGAGCTTCATGGTACAGCCGCAACGTCTTATATTTAATTTACCGATATTGGGACGCTCTTCCACACCCTCCGTTGAAAAAAAACAACTTGACGAATGTATTTGTTAGTGGCAGTACAAGTTTGGATGACCAGAAGAAATATCCACACCATTTTTAAAATTTTTATTTTTTTTTGCAAAGGGGTGTCTTTCAGTCCGAGATGGCCGCCAACATTCCGGGCATCATCTCCATGGTCTTCTTCTACGCACTGGTCCTCGGCATCGGGATCTGGGCGTCAGTCAAGTCCAGGAGGGAGAAGCGCAAGCAGGTGAGCGGCATCCTGGAGATGTCGTTGCTTGCAAACCGTAGCATCAGCCTGCTGGTGGGGGTCTTCACCATGACAGGTGAGTATCTTTGCATGCAACTTTCCATCTTGTTTTTTTTTTTGTTTGTTTTTGGAGTTGTGGGAGGTGGGGGTGGGGTTCCCTATACAGCACATCCTTTATTATGGTAAAAAAAAAAAAACTATATATATAGATATATCTATATATCTATATATATAGATATATCTATATATATATTCTTATTAAAAACTGTAATAATAATAATGATGATTATAATTTGTATTGCACTTAGCTAATTTAATCATTGTAAAAGGGCTATGCAGTGGTGCTTTGAGATAAAAGTGACTCTTTTCTTCGTGTTCTGTTTAATGTTGTTATGTCTCATCGAGTGCTATTCTCCTTGTGAAAAAAAAAGAAGTACAAAATTTTTTTTTTTGGGGTGGGTGGCTGACATTGTGTTGCGAGCATGGCCATAAAAAAAAAAATAAAAATAATAATAATCAACTTGTATCTCAATGCACCACAGCATGGAAGGGATTGACTTTGTCTAAGCTTCCCCGTGAAATTAAAAGTGGTAAGCGAAGACTTTTCAGTCAGACTTTTTCTGACTTCCCAGATAGAAATTGACTCCATTTTATTTTGTCAACTGGCTGCTTCAAATACAATCACCTTGGCAGATAGATTTTTGGAGTAGATGTCGAGTCAACTTAAAACATGTAACCTGGATCCAGATGATTTTATTTCGTGCAAAATAAAATGGAGTCAATTCAGCAGAGCTTTTTTATTTCCCCGACGGCTGATTGCCAAGATGATGTTTGCTCTCCAACAGGCGGGCTGGCGTTCGCTGGGCCGCTGCGCGCAACCCACTGTGTCACCATGTTGGATCCCTTCCAGCGGAAGTACGGCAAAGGCCTGACGGCTGTCTTAAGCTGTATCTCGCTCTTCCTCGACGTCTTCTGGGTCCCCTCCACCCTCACCAGCCTGGGTGATGCGCACGCAATGCATGCACTTGCACAAGTTTGCATC